CACACACACACATCCTCCAATATATATACACACACATATATTTTATATTTACACACAGAGAGAGGCGAGAGAGAGAGAGAGAGAGAGAGAGAGAGAGAGTGAAGAGAGAGAGATGACGACCGGAATAATGGAGGTGACGGTGGTCGGAGCTCGTGGTCTAAAAAACGCTGAATTCTTCGGTATGTATCTATATATATGTATATATATTATGATTTTTTTCTGCTCTTATATATTTGTTTGAGGTGATGGTGTATCTATTTATCTATATATACACCATGATTTCTTACATATTGTTCATCAGCAACCCAAGGAGAAAATATGAAGATTATATTATTATTGTATATTTATTTATGCTCGAAATTCGAATGAATAAGGTTAAACCTGGTGTATAAGACTATGCTACACCGGATAGATCTACACCATTCATAAGAACACAAATACATACACATCCATATTGGTGTGTGTAGATCAACCGTAAAAATTCACCTAGTGTGGGATAGAAATAACCGGCCAAACTCCAATACATCAGCAACCTTTTTTTTTTATTGTGATACTAATTATTTTAAGATTAACATCATTTGTTAAAAATTTATTTTACATTAATGCATTATTGGTTCTGAAATGGACTTCCTGCCGTTCTTTAATTATGAACCTTTGAACCTCATATATACTTAATCTGAAATGTTAAATGCCGTTTCAGTTTTACTAATGTTGTTTTGACTTCAACCTGATTTTGATATATTTCTATTTTGATTTTGGCAAAATTCGAAACACGAAAACTGTAGTCATTTGGATTTGCCTAATTCAACTTAAATCCGCTAGATTGGATGCCGTGTGACAAAGTTATGCATGAATGAGTCACATTTTGAATTTTAGGTATCTCAATACATCAAAGTTGTGGGCAGTATTCATTGATTCAAGTTGGATTAGAAAACTAACTCAGAATACTACAAATTCTCTTTTTCGAGTTTTGCAAAATTTGGAATTAAAAATGATCAAAATCACGTTTGAAGTCGTAACGTTATTATTAAAGTTCGAACGACATTTATCACATCCCTTACTTAATTTATGTATTCAAAAAAATAAAATATTATATTTAATCAGAATTTTTTTCTTCTAGGCTCTATATATATTAATAATTAACATTTTTAATATGTGTGTCGAAATTTCAAACGACATTTAATTTTGAAAAGTATGAATTAGCATTCAGATTAGTCGTCCTATTGCAGGTTTGAATTAAGTGCGTCTGGTTTGTTTCAACTAATACGTTACTGTGCCTTGTTTGCTTCGATAAACACGTAAATAATTGGTCAACAAAATTAGGTCAAAAGTTGGTTTATTTTTCAATTTTTTTATTAATAACCAAATGTCACGTCACTATTTTACCATTGTGCCACCGCCATGCATATATGATATATGGTGAACTATTTCTGTTTGTCGTATTTCCTATAGCAATATTCTAATTGATTTGTCAATGGTGGTGCTGTAACAATCAATAATACAATTACAACATTATACAGAGTCTAAGATTGACGACCAAGAGGCTGCTTTTATTATATTATGATTGTTCAATTATTATTAATTAATTAATTAATAATAAATAATAAATTAAATTAAAAGTACACTTATTAATTAATGGTGCAGGGAAGGTAGATCCATACGTAGTGATTCAATACAAAAACGAAGAGCAGAAGAGCACAACCGGTCATCGTAAAACTTCGAATAAACCCCGTGTGCATTGGTGCCTCTGTCTTCGCGGTCCGATTATTTCTCTATTAATTTCAACATTTTATTTAATAATTTATTCAGTAATAATTGTTCATTTAATATTTAGTAGTAATTCTGACATAATTAAAATAAATAAATGATGAATAAATATGCAGGGCAAGGGCAAGGTATAAGTCCGGAGTGGAACGAGAAGTTTAAATTCGAAGTCGATTATCCATCAAAGGAGGATGAACAACACAAGCTCTCTATCAAAATCATGGACCACGACACCTTCACCGGCGATGACTATCTCGGCCAAGCCACGTAAGCATATATATGTTTATTTTTTAATTGACAAATATATTTGCTAATTAATTAACCGGTGACGAAAACAAACTGGATATATGCAGCATATATTTGAAGGAACTGTTCGAACAAGGGCTGGAGAAAGGCAATGCTGAACTTCGTGCACAAAAGTATAGGGTTGTCTCGTCCGATAAAACATACCACGGCGAAATTAAAGTTGGAATCACCTTTACTACAAACGTAAGCTTTTAACCATGGTTAATAATTAACATGCGCAACGGCAATTTCTTCAATAAAAAACGTAATAATAAAAATATATTGCTTGATATTAATTTTTTTTTAACGATCGATGATTAATTGTTTATGTTGTACAGAGGAAGACTGGTTAGCAAGAACATGGTGGATGAAGTATAGACAAAGCTAGTAGCTTACAGCTTAATTACTCTATTTTTATATCTATGTAGTTAGTGGAAGTTGTTTAAATTCTTGTTATCTTGAATTACGATATGAGCTGCAAACATTCTAATTTATTCATTTTAAATTATTATCTTACTTACAAATTTTATTTTTTTTAAATATTTGGTTAACCAACGTTTCACATTTCGGAAAATCGATAGTTCATGATATCCGTCGGAAATATTTTAGGGCCATCGTTTCTGTAAATGTTTAACAGTTTCGTCGACATTTCTAATAATGATGAAACAATGGAAACGTGTTTACACCAAAAAAAATCCAAAACTCATTTCAAATATAAATTCGGAATTGCATACGCTTAAAAAAGCTTAAATCTTATGTCTTTTTTCGATTTTAGTTGTGTTCTAATATTTTTTGTTGATGTTAATTCCATACTAAAATAATTTTATATGTCCCAAATGTAATTGTGGAATGATAATTCGGATTGGAACTTGTAAATTATACATAATACGCATATACAAATATGTAATTCATGATAACTTTATAATATTTTTTAGAAATTATGAACATATCCCTAAATTTTTAATATTTACACGTTTCACAATGTTCTCGTATCCAACATTTAAAAAAAAATGAGTTTTTCCGTGTCCTCGTTCCCGTGTCACTACTGCATAGTCGTGCATCAAGAAAGTGACATGAGGCTTGTGAATATACATGCCTCAAGTTTGCACCGATTTCACATCCGGTCCCACATGTTTAAAGAATTCAACACTTTTAGTCATTTCCATCAATATTCCGTTATTACTAACGGAATCAAGCGTGTTTTCATCACTGCAGTTAACGGTAAAATGAAGGAAATGACCAAAAGGGTTAAATCATTGAAACATAACGGACCAAATGTGATTTTTGTGACTACGAAAGATTAAATGTGAAATCGGTTCAAACTTGAAGGATAAAAAATGTAATTCTTTCCAATTTATATACGATGCAACTAGTTTTATAATATTTTTATGGGCAAGCCCATTTAAAAAAGTTTGGGCTTTATAATTAATTTGCACTTATTTCATGGGCTTCCAAATTCCAATACATACCCATTCCACATCCTAGAATGCTTGCACGCGAGCAGCTGCCGTCTGGTGAAAGAAGAGAACTACAACCCTAAATTTCAATTAGGCAGTCATATATATATTATTTTTTCTTCATTCTTCTTTCTAAATCCAAAATTGAGAGCAAGATTTGGGCGATGATTACAAAGAGAGAGGATCGAGTGGGAATTTATTTTATTTCTCTCTGTAGAAATTAAAAAAAAAAAAAAAAAACAGAAAAACAAATTTCAAATCTGCTGAAGAAAGATTGATTGAGAATTGAGAGAGATAAATAAAATGAGGTTTTTCTAATATACGCAAAGATGCTGCCGCCCCCTTTTCCTTCGAAAGAGCTGGCTTTTGGCGCACCTTCGTATTGGAAAAATCTTTTCTTCTTTCATTTTATCTCTCTTATTTTTTTCTGTTTGAAATTTGTTTTTTTATCCACTATGAATTAACTTTTCTAAAATACACTTGATATGAGCCCTATTCTGCTTTTCTTTTCTTTTTTTTGATGAAGAATTTGACATTATTTAATATGTTAATTTACTAGCTAAATTAGAAATCGTACACATTGGTAATTTTTTGTTAAGAGTCTGGTTTTTAAAATTATTTTAATTTCAATGAATAATTTTGAAATACTCAGATTGTACGAATTGAAGCTTGTTATTATTACATAGGTGTTGTTTGCAAATGCTTATTGAAAGTGATTATGCTGATGTTTTTGCTCATAATTTGTTTGTAGGTGCTTGCAAAATCAACTTTTGCTTTTGCTTTTCTTAATTTACTTTAAGTTATTTTTTTAAAAGCACCCCTAACCCTGTTTTTTCAATTTTAGTTCATTTTCCGAAAT